CAGGCTGGATATTAGGAAAAATTTTTTCACTGAAAGGGTTATCAGACATTGGAATGGGCTGCCCAGGGAGGTGGTTGAGGCACCATCCCTGGAGGTGTTCAAAAGATGGGTTGATGTAGTGCTGGGAGGTATGGTTTAGTGATGATGCTCCTTGTTTGTTGTGCGGGTGTCTATTTTTGTCAGTCAGGTTGACGGTTGGACAAGATGATCTTTAAGGTCCCTTCCAACCTAGAAGATTCTGTGATTCTGTGAAACGAGCCCTGACAGGCGAGAAATCTATTCACTCGTTTGCTACTAACATTACCAAAATGATAGACCGATGAGAAGGGACACAGCAAAAACCTGAAAAGCAGCACTGGGATTTGTTCCACTGGAAAAAAAAATCCACTGCATTTCACATAATAAAGCAGCGTGAATTATTCTGTTTGGCTCTAGCTACACAAAGCTTTAATTAAAACAAATTACACTTAAGAGTCACAGAGTAGTTTAGGTTGGAAGAGCGCGGCGGAGGTCACCTTGTTCTATTTCTGCATAAAGCAGGAGCAGCTTCAAAGTTCCCTCAAGTTGCTCAGCGCTTTGCCCAGTCAAGAGTCACAGCCACAAGACAGACAGAGCGTAATCCAAAGTGCCACCACTCTCTGAAATCAGAGTCTGGAAAGGAGAATGACATAATGCAGAGGGGATCATCCTTTGAAGATGTGCATTCTATTTTTATTTCCTGCATCAGAGGTGCACTAGCAAGACATTCAGTGGGAAGTGAGGGATATCATTCCCAAAGATTTCTCCTGCCGGCTGCTTGGCCACAGGCAGCCTGCGAGACAGCTGGTCCCAGGGCCTGGCTTCTGCTGTGGCCTAAACACCACTCCACGCACAGCCGGGAACAGGGAATCACCCCAGAAAAGGTCACTCTCTTCAGGAGCATGTGCCTCCTCATGTGGCAGTGGTTCCTCACTCCTGCTGAGCCCATAATGCACCCCGAGCCAGGAGCTGCTGCAATGAACAGCCCACCGTGTGCCTTCGCTGGAGGATGATGTGGTCTATACATAAAGCCACACAGGAGAAAATACAATTGCAAATCTGAACTAGTTAAAAAAAGAAGAGTTTCTTAAAAAAAAACCCTGTACTTGCCTTTAAATAGACATTATGTTGTGATTCTGCAGTCCTCACTTCTATCCAAGGTGACTTGGCTGAGTGCACATTCAGGACGCTGGCTAATTTCCCAACTTATCTTATGTTTTCTTAGGTATCCTGGAAAGGATTCAGAACTCGCCTCGCTGATCTGACTAAAAAAGGAAAAATCACTGTTATACTGCATTGTACAGGTATTTTATCTTTATATTTTCCACCCTGCATACAGCAATAGCACCTCTTGATTCATTCATGATAGGCCTACAAGTCAAATCCTCCTACTCCTCCGTTCTGGGAAATACTGTATTTTCTCAGTGAATGCACCTGTACCTTCACACTAAAGTCTTTTTCGTGCTGCTGTTGCACTATGGGGCCAGAATTGTCCTGAGGCACTTCACTGCACGTCAGCTTATGAAAGACTGTAAAAATATTTAACTTAGTTTTTTTATTTATAAATATCCTACCTACTGAAGTTATAACCTCCCAAACATCTGCATGTGAGAAACCATGTCTAAGATACAAACATGTGCTATTACTTAAAACATTACCAATAGTGATTTAAGAGCCTTATTGTACCTTTTAAGCTGATTTTTGCATCACCCATGTATCACCCGTGTTCCTTTCACTGAGCACATAGGCAGATCCACCAGTTGCAGTCAGGGAAAGAAGGAAACACGTTCTTTTTTTTCCACGCCTAAGAAGCTCAGAGGGTTCTGTAAATATGAGAATAATTATGAGAGCATGCCAGTTAGCAACCAGGGTTGTTAGCTGGCATTAGAAGTGACAACTCGTGTTGCGTGATGAGCTTGATCCCATAAGCTAAGATTTAGCATAGTCAGACTTCGGAAGACCCGCTACGTAAAAGATTTATCCCTTGGTACAGTTAGTTGCTCAGATTTGGCACGGTGGGAGCCAGTATGGTCCAGAAATCAACGCAACCACGCTGTCCTGTTGGCACAGCAGAGCAGTGGCATGGCCTAAGACTTTGAGCCGGTGTATCCAAATGGAGCTGCAGTCCCCATCACGGCCACGTTTTACTGTCCTCCACCACGCAACACAGACAGGCCCAGAGATTCACAGGAAAGTCGTTGATCTGGCCCAGGAAGCATATTCTTTACTTTTCTGAGGTGGGTTATTTTAAACAAGAAGCTGTGTTTATTTAAAAAAGCAAAACGTTGCTTCAGTTTCTTTCCCTTTTTAAGAGAAGTTGGAAAGAAGAGCATCCTGGAAGAGACCCGTTTGCTGTCACTCCAGCTGCACGTGTAGGCATAGCAAAGCAGCATAAATTCCTGACTGCTGGGAAAGTTGCCACTGAGCAGCTTCTGTGAGCTGTTGAAATCAGGCTTATGTTGCTTCTGCATCAATTTTTCTTTCACTTGCTCATCCCCGTAAATCAAAATGAAGAGCTACCGGACTATGAAATGTATTTTGCATTCTTTATTACGTAACACCGCTATATTGAGATATGCTAATCAAATAACCTGGGTCGGTCTTTATTTTCAATGGAACGGACAAAAGAGCATCCTTAATGTTTTCAGGAGAACACCTCAAATGCCTGACATAGGAGTGAGTGGCACTGACAGGTTCTGCAGGGATGAGGCCTCCAATCTCACAGCCAGATAAAAGGGTGCCGGCAGTTACCGCTCAGGAGGCTGTCAATTAATAACCAGATAACGGGTATATATTTTGACTGGTGTTTGACATTTACATTACCTCCAAGTTAGGGAGAAAGGGAGCCTTTCAGCCTGAAAATTGTTTTCAGTCCGTTAAAAACCAAAGTTTTATTTTCAACTAACTGAATGTGCTGATGAAGCTCAACTTAGTAGCACTTATTGCTACTGTTTCTATTAAATAGACATAGCTCACTGTGACTTACACTATAAAACATTTGCATCTTACTGAGAAATCTTCATTAATCACTTCCTCTCTTCACACTGAAACAGCTATGATAATCAATTCTTATTTGCACAGCTGTGCTATGAATAATTTTAAAATTTTGCTGTAATTGTTTTTCTGTTCTGCTGAAAAATGGCTTCAGAGAACTAAGGGTTTTTCTCACATATATATGGCGTGTACGTACAAGAATGGCCAAGTGTTATTTGGAATACTTAATTACATAAAATTCTGCTGTGGAAATGAAGATTAAGTCTGCTCTCCATTTTCTGGCTTTGCACACTGCTTAAAAGATTAAAATCTGCCTTTGTCCAAATATATAGAAATAGAGTTTTGAAAAGTGTGTATTGGCTCCTTGTGACTTGCATGTAGCTAAGGTACCAAAGCAAAGGCAAGATGGATACATATGAAAAAGCTTTTATAAGGAAATATAATGTATTTCTTTCTAAAGGGCAATCAGAACTGCATCTTAAGCAATGGATACGGCTGCCCAAAGAGGTTGTGGAGGTGCCCTCCTTGGATTATTTCAAGACTTGACTGGACCTCAGAGACTAGAGACATCTGGAGCTCCCTTCCAATTTCATTTAGCCTCTCCATTATCCTAAATTTTAAGCACTTAATAAAACGGCAATCCAAATGTGAGAGATATATGTCTTGGCAAGGCGATCCTTTCTGTCTCATGGAGATCTCTGAATTTAAGCAGAAGGATAAAAACTGGACAAACTACCTTCTGTAGTTCACCACAGATTAATTATCCGACCTTTGATTAAGAAAGAGCTACTATTTTATCTTGCCATTGATTTCAAAGCTAATTGTATTTCCACTACCAGTCACAACAAACTTAAGCAAATCTAGTTGCCCAAGGAGTATAAACCAGAAGATATGGAGGCTCCAACCCTCGGCTGACACTGCAGATCAACAAGGTAAGAGCCTGCCTGGGCACACAAAGAGAATTGAGTAAAGTGTTAGTTAGTTAGAGTTAGAAGACCCCAGAAGACCCCAAAAATCACTATTGGACTAAAAGAGGTGTGAGGAGTGGGTGTGTGGATCACAAGCGTGTTACCCACCTGTGGGAAACCTCAGCTGGTCCGAGGGATTGGAATGTGAGCTTAACATCCACCTTGAGCAGACACCTGTGTATCCTTGAAGAGGCCTGAGAGTCCTGAGGGGAGTAAATAAGACTAAGGACCTGTCAGACTGCCAGCAGAGGAAAGTTACTGAAGTTACAGCAGAGAACAAAGAAGGAGGAGGTTATCCAATCATGAACTGCTGGACGTTGAGTGAACCAATTATATATGGACACATGTTCCTAAGAAAGATATAAAAGAGTTTGTTAAAACAATAAAGTTGGGTCTTTTGGGCTCTTGCTCATGAAGGTGTGTGTGTCTTCATGGCTGTCTCAACAGCAACACCCATTTCTTTGTTCACGGTCACCTCTCTTTGGAGGCACTGGTCCGTCCTTGCTGCTGCACCTTCCAATTAAATTATTATTTTTTTAAAAACCAACGCCTGAGACTCTGCTGCGGGAAACCCAGGGCCAAGCCTGAAGGACGAGGTAACACACCCCAGAGTAAGCGAGAGTGTGCGACACCACGACTACTGTGCGAATTCCCGGCCAGCGGCCTCTCCTTTAACAGCAAACCTAGAGACACCCTATCCGAAACTCCCACTTACAAAACAACACGAGAACTGGAAAAATATAACGGAACTGCCCCGGTTACCGGCTGAGGCACCCCCCGCCCCGCCTGAGGGAGGGCAGCGCACGCGCACCCGCCCCTCCCGCGCTTGCGCGGCGGCGCGAGCCAGCCAGTCAGCCCGCCGCCCGCCACGCCCCCAGCGCCGCGTGTCACCGCGCTAGCCCGGCTGGCCCCGCTATTTATTTGGCGTCATCCTCTGATTGGTCCCTGGGTTGACCAATAGCCCTACGGCCAGGGCACAGCGCAGCCAGTGGGAGCGAGGCAGAGGCCGTCGTGGGCGGGGCAGCGCACGCTGAGGCTGAGGGGGTGGCGGCGGGAGCTCCGAGCACCCCTCGCTGCCTTGTCCTCCTCATGGCCGGCTGGTGGCTGCCGCTGCCGGCCCTCCTTCTCCTCGCTCTCCTGTGTGCCCGGCCCTGCCCCTGCGGCAGGCCTCCGGCCTCCTCTCAGGCCGTGACGGCCCGGCTGGCGGCGAAGTGGCCGGCGACGCCGCTGCTGCTGGAGGCGAGGTGCGTGCAGCCGCCGCCTCCTCCTCATCATCTTCCTCCTCCCTCTGCTGCCCTTCCCCGGCTGCCGCGGGGACCGGGAGCGGCGATGCTGCCTCCCCCGGCGGTCTAGTAGGGGGCGGAGGAGCCTGGTTGAGGGGGCGGGAGGAGGGAGCCCCTTCTCTCGGCGGAGAAGAGGGGGGGGTGGCTCTCGGAAAGGGGGGGGCTGCGTTTCTCTCTTCCTCTGTCAGAGGGCGCGGTGAAGTTCTCCTTTGGCATAAAGCTTAACTGTTTTCTGCCTTTGTAAAGTGCCTACGGGTGCTGCCGACGGGCTTTCCCAGGCTTTCAGTCTGCTATTTGGGTTGCTTTGTCTTCAGCTTGGAATGTTTTGTAGATTAGTTCGAGGAGATGCAATGGGCTTATCTACAGAGTCCCTGCCTTCTGCTCACTAACGGCATCTCTTCCTCTGCCCCCAGTTAGTTTACTCCCACTCCTGAATGACATAATGATGTATAAAGGGATTAGCGAAGACGTTAAGCTGTAGTAGTAAGACAAACCCATTTCTTTTTTCTCTTCTAGAAAGATATTGTTAACTTAAAATTTCAAAATTTGAAGTGAAATTGTTTTCCAGTATCACGTGTTTGTGGCTCACTTGCCAGTTTGGTTTTAAATCCTTTTTTGTGTGGTTGTTGTGCTTTTAAAGTTATTTGCTGCTGTTTATAGAACTCCCATGAAAGGGAGCACTGCAGGCTTCTATGATCAAAGGAGTGGCAAACTTCCAAAGTAAAGACTAGAAAACAGCACACTCATGCCAGCAAGTAGATCTTTTTGATAGGCATCCGGGGGGAAACAACTGATGCTCCCTTAAAAAAACCCACTAAACTAAAAAGTGTTACCAGTAAGTGGAAGAATGGTATTTGGAAGAAAGCAAATCTTACCTTTTATGTTTTTGTAAGGATTAACCAATTTTTGGAACTGTTCTGGAGACTGGGGACCTCTCCTGCATAGTAAAGTAGACATTGTCATTCAATTAAAAACTGTTACCTGACAGAGTGTGTGTTCTCATTTGTATATTTAGCCACTATTAAATAAAGTTTGTGTGCTGAGTTGATTATAACTGTATATTGGAATACCTGTGGAAAAATAAAGTGAAAAATTATGTTTATTTCTGTATTGGAGAATAGTCTGCTTGCTTTACAGCTCCCATTGTTGAGTTCAGATTGGTAGTATTTTGTTCAAAATTTCTTTAAAATGAAATATATCGCTGTTCAGTGTTCATGCTGCAGAGATGTTAGATGGTCATTTGAATACTTAATACTTGGTTGTTGCTGAGTATTTGTTATTTTAAACAACTGAAGATTTTTACTATGGTACCTCTTTGGACACAATCAACCTATGGACAATTCATTTTTATTTTTGAACAGTGAATTTATTGCAGAAGATGGTAATGAGAAGTTTTGGCAGTTCTTGGAAACAGTACGAGAATTAACAGTTTATAAGCAAGGAGGTAAGTTAAACAGCATGCTAGTTTTAACATATTACCTTGCAGTGTATTTAACTTTCAAACATCAAGCTAACACGTTAACTAGTTCCAGTCAGGTAAAGCCTAACTCTTCCACTATTGCTTACTAGGTAGATTTCTTTGAGAAGGTTGTAGCATGTTTTCCCCTAGGAGCTTTACCTCCAGAGGAGCTCTAAAAGCAGGGAAGATGTGATGGACTGAACCTCTGTTACAATATGGAACAGAAGTGTAAAGATTAGAAGAAAGTAGCTATCTTGTGTGACTCAGCAAGAGTTTGTAGGATATTCTGTGTTTTGTGTAAGATGTATGTTTCTAAGGGAGAGAAACCCACAAATAACTAAGATGAGAGTGCTAGCTAAAGGAAAAAACTAAAAGAATGGCTAAAAAAAGTTTTAATACTTGTAGGTGGCATAGAGGTTTAAGGTATTTGTCAGGGATTCTTGTCAGCAGAGAGTTGCATTAAATTCTTACGCCTAAGAAGGCCGAGTACATTCTAGGAGTGTAGCAGCAGGTCAAGAAAAGTGAATATTCCACTGTATGTGGCACTTGTAAGACTGCCTTTGGACTGCAGGGCCCAGATTTGGGCTCCCTGTAAAAAGAAAGACAAGACATACTGGAGTGAGTCTAGGGAGAGGATGACCACAGTGGCTTGGGAACAGGAGCAGATTTCTGAGGGCAGGCATGGAGAACTGATTTTATTCAATCTGAGGAAGAGAGGAGAAAGGAGAGACATCATGTCCTCTGCTTTTTATGAGGAAGGTGTAGAGAAGATGGAATCAGACCTTTCCTGAAGGTACACAGTAATATGAAAAAAAGCAATGGGCCCAAGTTGAAACATGGGAATTTCGGTTAGATGCTAAGGAAAATGTTTCTGCTATGGGGTTGGGTAAACACTGGAACAGGCTGCCCCAGGTGGCTGTGGAATCTCCATTCTTGGAGATAATCAAAACTCTGCTGCATGAGGCCCTGAGCGGCCTAGTGTAGAACTGAAATTAGATCTTCTCTAAGTAAAAGTTTGGTTGAGGTGACCTCCAGAAGTCACTTTGGTCTTGAACTATTCTTTCTTTTTTTGTGTGTGTGAGTAGTTCAGATGCAGCTGATAGTGTCTTGAAGAGTGATGTATTAGATGGTGTGTCAGAGGTTTTTGTCAGCCATTTCTTGTCTGCTTGTTTGGGCCAACTTTCCAAGAAATGTGAACTCTTACTTATTAAGACGCTTACTATTAGTTTTACAGGTGTCTGTTGAAATTCACTGTTAGCTGCATACTTTACCTATTTTACCTGGATAAACTGTGTGATTGAGAATAAATACATTACCAGTAGAATGATCTGCATGGTCTTTCTTGCCAATAAAGTATTACAGTAGTGGGGAACCTTAAGAAAGTACTAAAATAATACTTTATGCATACTAAGCAATTGATGTATGTTTATTTATCATTATGGCAAGCAAACTCTATGTTTATAATGCAGGAAAACTGAAAAGTTCTGGCACCAAGTGGTTTTCTTAAAAGTCAATTCGTAGTTGGGGTTGCATTATACAAGCAAACCAATGTTCTTTATGAACAGGATGGGAAGGAAAGATTCAGGTTTAGAGGAAAAACAGTTACTTAATGACAAAATCACATCAATTTTGAATCTTCCAGCTTGAGAGCATCTTACTGAAGTCAACATAGTAAGGGTGAAATAGAAATATGAACATAATATGTATACAGCAATAGTTAAGCCACTTCCAGTAGGAAAGTCTGCATTAGAAGTCGACAATAAAACGGTCAGCTAGAGTGAAGGATACTGATATTGAAGTAGTGGTGTGGCACAGTTACTGCAAAGTGTGTGATAGTATACGTCTGAGGAGAAGTTGGTTCTCTAGATAGTGCAGAATGGGTTCCGTCTTAGCTGTTGCACGTCAAGATACGCTGAGGTAGAGGGATGTTCATGATAAATTAAGGCTGAAGTAATGAAAACTACTTCAGCAAATCAAAGGAGTTGGCTTTCAAAGGTATTGGTTGGGGTAGCTGACTTCTTTATTCTTCTCTGGATGATCCCAAGAGTAGATGGGATTGATAACTGGCAAATTGTTGGTTTTTAAATAGAAACGTTTTCATAGAAGGTAAAGAATTACTAGATTTGAAGCGGAAGAAATGGGTTTATAGGAGAACTGGATGATAGATTTGTATCCCAACCTATTTCAGTGGTATTAAAGCTAAAACTTAAAAAATCAAATATAGTGGCTGTTTGTTTTCTTGGTTTTTTTGTTTGTTTGTTTTTTAAACCACTCCTTGGATGATTTCCAATCCGTTGCTTATCCGTTCTGAAAACTTGTTATTTTAAATCTAGAATAATCAAATCAACATATGTTGTTAACTTGCTCATTTAAAATATTCAGCTGTAGCAAATTAGGTCTAGTAATGGTCTGTGTAGCTGTGATATATGTAGCAATTTAGTGGACTTGATAGGAACAACGTATGTGGAATTTGGTAAAGCATTTAGTCTGGTGATGTATTTGGTTGTTGTAACATTTTCTTTAATATGAACTCATATCAACTTGGGTGTCATTAAGATTATACAGTATGAAAAACACGAAAAAGTTAATGATGGGATACACTATATAAATTAGAGTGAGGTCTTCAGATAGCATGGACAACATTGTGTATGTCTATTAACATGCAATGTATCTTCCACAAGCCTGGTGGCAAGTTTGGAAATGCCAGTAATGCTATTTTGGTCTCCATGTATGTTACGAAGAAATGAAAGCTACAAAAATTTTATATTAAAACCAGCACAGTTACAAACCACTGAAGATTGCATTTTAAATTTGCTGCTGCTTTTATATCTCAAAAGGTTAATTTAGGAACACCAAGTGAAGGTAAGTAGCCAGTTCCCTGCTGACTAATTATAACTTGAGTGTTTACTGACTTCCCAAGTGGTTCAGTTTTATATACTGAATACATATTATATATTTATATACTTAAATACATATTATAAAGCAAACAAACTACAAACTCCACACAAACACACTAATAGGGAAACTATTTTCTCTGAAAAATATTACATAAGTATATTACATAGCAACAACAATCATGCAAATTATGTGTTGTAGTCTAGAAGACATTATTCACAACTGAATTAGATAAGTATTTTACACATGCATATCAACATTAAAGATTAAAGAGGAATCGATTTCACAAGCTTGGTGCTTCTATAATAATCATGCTATAAAATATTCCCTCTCTGCCAGGATCTTAGTTGAATGTCATAAGGATTTGACTGGCCAGTGATTGCTTGAACTGCTGTTATCTGGGATCTCTAATTCCCTGCCTGATCTATGGGTACAGATACACACATCTATGCTGTTGGAACAATCCCCATACTCCCTTCCCTCAAAATAATGATCCCAGCACCCTGTACTCTTCTGACTAATTGTGTGCCTTATGCTTACTCTCCATACCTCCTGTGCCTCAGCACTTTGAATTCTCCTGCAGGCCACCAGCATATTTTCAGATTAATTTTGTGCTGCCTGTGCATGGGATCTGAGGAGCTGTGATTTAGACCTTTACTTTCCTTTTGTCACCATCCTTGTCATCTCCCTTTAATTATTTTTAATCTACCTGTGATGCGAGATACTGCTGTGGATTGTGGATGGTAAATGTCAATGTTTAAACCTGTCTGCTTGCTTAGCTGTTCAGTTCTTGTAGTCAATCTAATCAATCTGGTCACAGGAGCTGAGAGGGCTATTCAGCTGACAAATTTAGGCATCTTTAGAGTGAGCTAAATAGCTTCTCAAGTCTTGCTGGCTGCTAGGCTGTATCTCTCTTGGCTACAATGGGATTTTTACAGATAACATAACTCATAAACGTGCGTTCAGATGGCTGAAATCTGGAGCCATATCCTATTAATGTTGTCTCATGTATTTATTTTGAAATCAACTTCGTTAATGAATTTAGTGGTATTATGCTATCATGCAGCATTTTATGACCAGAAACATCTGTTTCTCCATGGTTCTCTGTAACATCCTAAGAAATGTAATATGAATTAATATGACTTTTACTCTTTGGTGTAGAGTGCAGTGTTAAGATGTGCCTGGAAGGCAAGTAATTATAAGGTTTCAAGGAGGAAATAGTATGTGAAAATAATTTTGAAAACTGAAACCATAGTTCTGTATGTAATAAACTTTAAAATGTGTTTTTGCATTAGGTGTATCGTATAGCGTGATGTAGATTAATTAATCTTGCTGAAGTTTAAATTACAGCTGTAGTCTGAATGAAGCTGCCAGTGTAAATGTTAAGTTGAAGTGGTAGGAATGGATGCACGATTTGATAAATGTAACCTTGTCAATGTGTGACACAATCATTTTTTGAAGGCACATGACAAATATTATCTTTTTTTTCTTATTAAAATCATCCTTGTCTTAATCATCTTCCAGAGCAAAAATGTCAGCTGTTTTCCAGGACTGAAAGCACAGCTGGAATTTGTAAGCCAAAGAATTTAACGACTTGTGATAAAAATGTTTTTATTGAGGCAGTATCTTTAGAATTGTATATTTAATAACTCTTTATTATGTTCAATAGGATGTTATTTGAGGCTGAGTGGAGAGGCAGAAATTTCGGATGGAATTTTTATTTTTGTGGAGATGCTGTGAAGAAAATTTGAAAGTATAGTTATTGCAAAGACATTTCAATCTGGAAGTATTTGCCATTTCAAAAATTTTTACATTCACTGCTTGGGAAGCCAAAATTATCTCGTTTGAGTTCTGCCACAGCTATGTGTAGGGTTAGAAAACATAGAAGAGGTGGGGGTTTTCTCCATTGAATTTAATGTTAGACAGTAATGATCATATACATTTTATGGGAAGGCAGCTTTCTGGAAATGCAGGTCATACCCTTTGGTAATCGTAGATTATTTTTTTCTAGTGAATTACAGCAAATTCAGCCTTTCTAAATAATGAATTTTAAGGAGGAGGAAAAGGTAGAGATGAGATCCTAGAGGCTTTAAGGACAAAAGAAGGTTAGGAGTTGTGAAGAGGAAAGTGAGAGGATAGGAAGTGCTTAGTTATGAAAATTGTATACAGAGCTGCTGGGAGCAGTTAATGGATATTTCCAAAACTGTGTCCTTTAAGGTTATTATATGTGATCTAATGTTTTCCTGGAACCTAGGCCATGGTGAGGGAATGGCATTTTGATTTCTGCACTCATCATTTGATACAAGTACTTCTGAGACCTACTGCAGGTGACACAGGTAAAATCTGGCACATTAAATCATTGGAGGTCATTTTTACACTGTATAAAATTGGGTGCCCCTTTGGGCCCCTAAAGGAGTTTCCTTCTGGGACGATCATTCCACTTTCACAGCAAGAGCACCTTTAAAATAAAGTGCTGACCTAAGAACACAGATAAATTCAAGCTGGACAGCTAGAATGGTTCCTCCATGTAATTGACTTTGCTGCAGGTTTTTGCTTTTATAGGCGAATATTTGAATTAAACATTAAAAAGTTCTTGAATCAGTGCAGTTTCCAGGTAGTACCTTATCAGTGAAGTAAAACACATGCTAACTAGATACATATATGGGGGCTTTTGGCCCATAAGGTGGCAATTCTGGACTCCTTCACACGTTTCATCTGCTGCTCCTGTGGATAAGCAAGCTCTGGGAGAGGGATGGTGTACAAATCTTGGTGTGGTCACAGCTTTCATTCTCTGACTCTTAATTTGTTAGTGTTGAAGAATATCATATAGTACAATGTATGCAGGCTGATTTAAAATTTTGGTGAGCAGTATTCCCTAAACAGATAGAGGTCTTTTTCACAACTTGAAAAAACAGCTTCTTTCTAGTTAGGCTTCTTTGCCTCACAGTCCGAGGACAGCATGACTATATGTCTCTAGAAGAAGAAATGAAGGTTAATTATTTCTAACAAATGTTCTTTATAGCACTTCAGTCAGTCCCAGACACTATCCACCTTCCTTCTTACTTGGACTCCTAATTTTGGCCTTGACAAAGCGAGATATGCAGAGAGAAGGGATGCCAGTTCACATGTTGCGTCCATTCTCATACTCTTGTTTATCTGTCTTCAAGGAAGTAGGATACGTGAGCGTAGCATAAAGAATGTCACCTTTAGAACATTTTTATTTATGTAAGTTGCATGGTTGGTGTGTTCCAAGACTAGATTTGAGGAAATAATGTGTAAATAAATGCCAGTTGAAAGTGAGTAGCCTTTTAACACAAATTCTGAAGGCTAGCATAATCTTGACAAATAGAAATAGATGAATAAACTTTATTCAAGACTTTCCGTTTGAGTCTGTAGAGAGACATTATTGTCTTGAGTCGATTTTTACATTGCTGAAAATTTAGATGTAAACTAGTGCTATTGCACTCACTTCTGTTGAATTTATGTTGCTTTAGGCCTTTAGAATTGGTAGTAAAGGAAACAATTATCAGCAGACAACATTCAAGACGTTTGAACTGCCCTGCAGCGCTAACATATTTGCCTGTTATGTAGCACAGGTAGATATGTCACCTCATTCATGGCTAAATATCAAATGTGTCTTGTTTTTTTCTCTTCTTCAACAGATTCAGAGCATTCCTATTACAATTTAATCTTGAAGAAAGCAGGACAATTTTTATCCAATTTGCAAATCAATCTATTGAAGTTTGCACTCTCCATACGGGCATATTCTCCAACTGTTCAGATGTTTCAGCAGGTGATTGTATTATCTGATATATTTGGTACATGATTTTGTGGTATTTTGGCTGCAGAGTGAAGAATGTTCATTATTACAGTTCAGTAAAATATATCCTGACATTATTTGGACTCAAACATGATCCATTTATAAAGGTGGTGCTTTTATAAGCTGGTTATATTGACGGGAACAAATATTCATGTTTAATTGTATGGATAGCTTTTTTAGGGGAGAATTTTTGGAATTATTCACTTTTAAAACTTGGGTTGTGGGGTTTTTTTGCATTGCTTTAAATAAAACCTATGGGAATTCAGATATTCCCAACATAGGAAATTTCCTGTAGTTTCAAGTCATTTATATTTGTGGGCTCTCTATCGTTATGTTAGTATTTGAAAAGTTGGAGGGGTAGAGCAGTCAAATACCTGCTTTATTAATGAAAAAGTGGGTGGGCATAAATTCACTGTGCCTCTAGCCTACAGCTGACTCTCCTCATTTTAGCAATGCTGCCTTCAAGATTAAGTGAGAAATCCATGTTTCTGAAAGGTAATAAGCTGTAATAAAGTTAAGGTTTTTTGCAGGTATTCTCTGGAGGAATACCATCATCTCAGACTCATGTCTTTTCATTTTTATCTTTCAGCTTGTGAATCCAGAGTCATTGATTTGCAGTCATATGATTCCCACTTTACATGGGAATAGCTGAATAGAGTTTAAAGAAAAAAAAAAAGACAGGGGGATGGGAAGGAGAGAGAACCAAAACCTGATGTTAATTATTTGGGATTTATTGGTTAGCAGTCAAATCTTTGTGCATTACCATGATTGCTGATAGTGACTAAAAAATATCTCAGCATACAGGCTGTGGTTTCAGCTTGAGATTTCTCAACTCTGTCTTAGAGAACATAATTGGACTTGCATTTTCTGGAGCATAACTGCATTTGATAGACTACATCTTACAGGGGTTATAAGGTCTTAATTTTCTAATATTTTCCATTACTTTTTTCACATGTACCCAGTTTCGAATGGGCTTAATTAGAAACATAATTCAATGGCAGCTGTTGAGTTATTTTAATCAAAGGGATGTGAGTTTAAGTTGAAGTGCAATCAAAGCATTCTGGTTGAGTGTAATTGTTGAAATATTAGATTGCAGCTGATGAACCTCCACCAGAAGGCTGCAGTGCATTTGTGGTTATCCATGAGAAGCAGACCTGTAAGACTAATGAAATAAAAAAGCTGCTGAAGAAGGCTACTAAGAGGTAAATATAATGATCTGTTTTAAGAGGAAAAATAGATTACTAAAGAGGAGAATGTATTATTGCATATACACTTGTAGTATTTTGAAATATTGTGTTGTACTTGGTAAGCCCAAGCCCATACATCTCTGTTTACTGGATATTGAATGACAATCATTTAAAGTATATGTTATTTTAAGTTACTTTGGGTATTGAAATATTTCAAACACTTCCTGCTGTAAAAATTCATCAATTATAAATCGAAGTAGGCATTTAAAATAAAATCATAGAGCTTTGCTCTCTAAACATGTGGATAATTTTGTAATTCTTCCCATCTTTTTTTGATATGGAATAGTCAAGTTTAAGTTACAGTGTACTTTCTATAGAAGCTTACCATTTAATGCCTCTGAGGTAGTACTTCTGCTGACAGACCTTTCTGCATAGTCATTGGTGCTGCGTTTGAGGTGTTCTTGATGGTAAGGGCTTGGCACAGGAGTGGAAGAGGAGTCTACCTCAACTGATGCAATGTTTCCTCAGCTTGTCCTAGACTTTGAACTATCAAGTCCATCTGCAGGCTTTGTTCTATGGAAACTAGCATCAGTCCAGAATTAATTTGGGCCATTAAGTAGAATCATGGAATGGTTTGGGTTGGAAGGGACCTTAAAGATCATCTAGTTCCAACCCCCTTGCCATGGGCAAGTAACGTAGAACCTATCAAAATAACAAATCACAGAATTGTTGGAGTTGAAAAGGACCTTCTAGAGATCATCTAGTCCAACTCTCCTGCTAAAGCAGGATTGCCCAGAGCACATTACTCAGGACTGCATCCTGGCGGGTCTTGGAAATCTCCAGAGAAGAGGATTCTACAGCCTTCCTGGGCAGCCTGTTTCAGTGCTCTGTCACCCTCACCATAAAGAAGTTTGTCCTCATATTTGAGTGGAACTTCCCATGTTCCAGCTTGTGCCTGTTCCCGCTCATTCTGTTACTGGGAGCCACTGAAAAGAGTTTGGCCTCCATCCTCCCTCAAACCGCCCTTTAGATACTTGTCAGCATTAATAAGGTCTCCCCTCAGCCTTCTCTTCTCCAGGCTAAAGAGTCCCAGCTCTCTCAGCCTTTCCTCATAAGGGAGATGCTCCAATCCTTTAATCATCTTTGTTGCCCTATGCTGGACTCTTTCCAGTAGTTCCCTAAGTAATAATGAAATCAGGAAAGCAAAATGTTTAATCTCTATTAAAAAAATAATTCATTCATATTTTTTTCAAGAGCTCTGTGTACCTTTTTTTTTGTTTTTCCTGCAATGGTCAAGGTCACCTTAATATACATCAGTGTCCATAGCCTCAGCTGCTTCATGGAGTTATGTAGAGCTGAAAGATGATTTAGGAAGGCATATTTCTCGGATTTTGATTTCTATCAAATATAAATTGGAAAAAAAACCCACCTGAAAACCTATAAATTTGTCTCTTTGGGGATGGTTGCTTCTGAAGACAATTTTGTGTTCTACATGTGTCATTTATGGTCTTTTCAAAGTTTATTGATACAATTACAATCTACTAAATCAGTCCCATTTTGAACTATTACATTCTGCCTCACAAATGTCTCTTTACTTTCTTACATATATTATTTGTACTATATTTTGGCTTTGAAAATGATGCTGAAATCTTCTGGTCATATTAAGGCATCATGAGACCTTAACATTTTATCACGATGTCTGAATGTGCTCTTCTAAAGCAGTTAACTGGATTCAGCACTTTTTCCTTTCTGGAGATGCTATCCCCAAATTTACAAGGTTCTGGAAATCCATGATATTAAACAACAGAATCCTGAAATATTCAGAATTGAAAGAGTTAGACTTCTAGGAATCATTAACTTTAAGAATTCACACCAAAACTTAAGTTCTTTCTATTAAATTACTCTTGTGTTTTGGATGGTTTTGTGCGTACCAGTCATGCTACAACCTTCAGAACTGCAGGGACAAAATCTTGATAAATTTCCTCTCCTTCTGTTCACTCCAAAAGTAGTTGAGTCATTCAAATATTTAGAGTTCCTGGAGCTAGACTTTGAGAAAAACATGTTCACCTTCAGGTAATTGTTTCTGCTGTTGTTTCCAGTTGTACTCTCAAGGGCCCTGGAGGCTTCAAAGCAAGATCGTCAGTGGTTAAATGGTTGGAATTGCTTATCTTGCTAGTTGTCCAAAACACAACACTAAGATTTCTGGGGCAGTTGCTGCCAAGAGCAGAAGCTTTGATGGGAGTCACATATTGCTCAAAACAATCAGTGCTTTAGCAGGTTTGTCAGTACTCATCTGCTGTCTTCTGTACGTCATCTTCCTTCTGCTCCTGGGATTGGCAACTACTAAGGCATGCCTAGTAATTGGTTAGCGAGTGCAGAACTCCACATCCATGTATTTTTTTTCTTTTTTTTGTCTGCCCAACTGCTATTCCTTCCCTTCTAGACAGCCTTCTCATGAGACTCCTTATGGCAGGAAATAAACTAGCTTTCAGCTCCAACCGCCAGAGAATCAATTACTTCTCACTACTATTCAGTGCCGAAGAGAAACAGAGGCTTATCTTGGATTTAGAAAGGCTGAACACTTTAGTTCTCCAATCCAAGGTCATTATGGTTAGCCCTATGCAATCTTATTTCACCACAGCACTTAATTTTTTAGTGAAGCTTGGTCATTATAGTATAAAATGCTTCCTTTGAGCTGTCAGTGTTCAAGAAAGTCTTGACAGCCCTTGGTACCCACCCTTTGAGAACAGGAGTCATTCTTCTGCTGTACGTAGGTGACTAGCTAAGAAAAGAGAAGCTCCCTTGATTTAAGTTTTCAATTCTATAAAGGAGTTTGGCTGTTCTTTTCTCTCTGGATATGAGAAGGAAGTTGCACAAGTCACATCCTGTATGCATGTTTTCATTCAGGGCAAATCTGGATCTGTTCTTGAACACTCATTTCGGGAGTTGTTTCAGCCTCCTTGATGACACTTATATTGGCTGCTCCATCCTCTGAAGAGAGTGGGAAAGCTTGCCTGGTATTTTTGTGACACATGGCTGTGTGCACTCGAGTTAATTCTCAATCCAGGCATCTCCTTCTGTCTCTGCCTTAGAAATATGGTCTTTGATTGTGTACCTACCAAGTTACCGAAGATATTGACGTTAAGGCCCTGAGTAACCTAATACAAACTGGCTCCACTTTAAGTGAGGCTTTGGAGCATCTGACTTCCAAAGGTCATTTGCAGTGTAAATTATTCTGGTATTTTATATTGAAGGTATGCCTGAGCTTTGCATCAACAGAAACTGATGTGTGGAGTTCTGCTCACACCTTTCCAGTATGACTTTTCAATGAGTATCTACTACACACATTTGTGGAGTGCCAGTTGGATTAGAGTTTCTCAGCTTGCCTTGGGGAGGTTTGGAGGCAGTTTACTGGTCTTTCAACTGTGCAAAGGCAACTGTGAAAAAGAAGTGTACTCATCAATAATTAGCACATTGAGTATATTGCTCAACCACATCCATTGTTACTTTTCCATCTTTCCAAGGATTTATTCAAAAGGTGTTTGTAGTCATCTAAGAAACCATTGCAGATATAGAAAGTGTAACTTCTCTACGATCACGGCCTTCAATAAGGAGGGTAGGTAGGCAATCAAAATTTGTAAAATTAGCTGAATTAACAGAGCTTGATGGTGTAAGAGAAGCATAATCCCAGTGTGGTGGCTGCTTTCTCGAACTTCACTGACTATCCCTCTGCTACTCTGTTACTCACTGTCTGATCTGTACATCTCTAGTAGATGTAATGCATTGTTTAAATTAAAAGGTTCACGCTGTAAATGATGCACAAAATCTCAAAGTGCTGTGCTCTTCATTTGCTCTTTGTTGCGATTTTGGCAAACTGTATTAATTTATAGTTAATCCTGGTTTTTCAGTTTCTTGGGCTTTAATATGAAAACATGTTTTAAGGTTTTTTTTGTGAGAAATCATGATTTGTGATGATTTTAACATGGCTTGTATACTTTTAGCATATAAGCCCTTGATAGTTTTTCAATTATCAAGTGGAAAAACTACTACTACTTTTATTTTCTGAATATATAATATCACAATTATTTGTTTTTAAAACCAGACCCAGGCCCTATCTTTTTAAGGGAGATCATAAATTCCCAACTCTCAAAGAGGATGGCCCAGTGGTTGTTCTTTATGCAGAAATGGGTACAAAAGACTTTGTTAAATTCCACAAGATTCTATCTGAGAAGGCGCAAAAGGAGGAAATTGTTTATGTTCTCCGGCACTATGTTCAGGTATGCAATTCAAATTAACACTGATTCAGTAAACTGTTAGTATTCTGTCTTAATTTTTCTCTCCTTTCTGACAAAGCACGTTTTCTACTTTTATTTTTGCATTTGCCTAAATCGTGTGCAATATGTATTCTAATTTTAAAACTTCCTAGATGAAATGATTCACCTAATATAAACTTTGAAGCTGGGAAAGCATGATAATATTATCTAATCCTGCATGCGTGTTTGCATCACTGATCTTGAAATAACTCTCTTTTTTGGCTGTGTCTGCTTCTTGTACATTGTATGAAGATCTTGGGTGAATCTTGGTATAGCATTCTGAACATCTTTATAACAAGAATTAGAAAAATGGGAAGTAAAATAGAAAATCAAGTTGAAAAATAATTATACTTAACATTTTATATATTCTGATTATAATCGCATATGTTCATTGTAATACAGCAGCATGGGCTATCGCAGTCAACATCATTGACCAGTTTTTCAACATTTAGATTCCACAGTGTCAGTATTTTAAACATAATATTTCCGAATGCTTTTCTTAACTTACGCTTCTCCCTGAAACAAAACAAGGCAGATACCAGTACATGGAAATATATTGTCCCCAGTTTTGGTTATTGGAAGGTTTTTGTAATTTATATTCAAAGTACAGCTCGTAGATAGTGCAGCTAATACAAGAATAATCTGATGAAGTGAGAGGTTGCTGGGATTTATGTAGACCAGGCATTTCGGGAAGATGAGATCCATAGTTTGCAGATGACTGAGTTGTTTGCTCACAGTAATGAAATAGAATTTAAGATTGGTTTCCCCAAATTCTCTAAGTTGTGTGGGATATAGTTTTTACTGAACTTTCTGTTCTTTTAGGCACTGTTTTTCAATTAAATACCTACAGTCTCCTTGCTCAGACCACTTATGAGCTATGATCCCTCCAAATGCCTGTTGTCTTCCTCCCTGCCCTTTTTCTCTCTTCAGACTCCTCTTCCCTTTTCCTCTGTCCTTAGAATATCCATATTTGTTCTTTGGTTCCCACTGAGAGGGATTCTCCCTCCTTTTTCATGTTAAATACCAGAAGAGGGAGCATTGAGAACAGAAGAGGTACAGTCTTCCTGCTATCTGTTTTTTTGGCTTTGGGGTTTTTTTTTGCCAGTATCACTAAGACTGCTTAGAGGGTGCATCTCTGCACTGAGATTTGCTTAGAAGACTAGTAGAGAAAAAACCCAGCCTTGCTGGGTTTTCAGTTGTGGGCTGGAGGATTCTCAATACAGAATGATTCTTAGAAACTGCAAACTAAAGCCAAAAAGCTTTCAAGTTCTGTGCATACATAAATTGCATTTTGGAAAGGGCATTTTCACACATTTTGGGAAAACTAGGGCACATCTTTCAGAAACTATGTATGCTCTGAGTAATTAGACTGTTGAATGCCAATTTTCCACTCCAATACTTGTTTGTGTTTAATAAGTGGTGACTTGTTTTTTAGCAGTGATACTTTAATATGTTTTCTTAATACTCTATGCAGAAGTTGATTAACTCTTTCATGAAAACTTTTTCAAGGAATCAGTCTGACATACAAATGGAGAATTTCCTCTCAGTATGCTGAAATCTGGCAAAATTGCGAAGAAATGAAAAGCAGTTTGAAATGTGACCAGTAATTGTATAGGGATGCTGTCAGCTCTGTTCTGGTTCTCCTCTAGTATTATTTGAAGTGATGACAATTTTAACAGACTTTCTGTGGTCTGCAGGAGATAACAGAAAGTAAAGACTTCTTTACACACCTTCTCAATGGACTATCGATATGCCTTACATGATGTTTGTATTTTGTTTGTCGTATTTTGTATTTCAAATCGTAAACTGAAATATGAATTTTTTATGATTATCATAAAATTTTGAAGTTACAATATTAGATGTTTTTGATCTCCTATAAATACAGTTTTTTAATTATTTTTTTCTATTAAAATAATATCATCAAACAGAAACCAAGTTCCAGAAAATTGTATTTATCTGGATATGGTGTAGAACTTGCAATAAAGAGCACAGAATATAAAGCAGTAGATGACACACAGGTTAAAGGTATGTTGTTTTTTTTATTCATTGTTTTATTGGCGATACAATTAAAATAAAATGTTACAGTCTTCAGTTTGTAGTTTGTAAAGTTTTGAAGGTTATACTTAATTTCTTTTTACAGAAGGAAGTCTCAGCATTGCAAAGTAATATATCAAAATATATGTGAATATTTCTAAAGAGCTGGGCTTAGAATGTATTTCTTTACCTAACCTATATTTATTGTTATCTGCAGCTTTATTTCAAAATGTAACTCATTCTTCCTTCTTTCGATAAGTATAAGAATGTTAACTGTTCAATTATTTTATGTTTGTTGGCATCTCTAATACGCTATCAACCACAGTATATACACATTACTGTTTCAGGGTTGGGTTCCTAAATTTTTGTGGAAAATGCTTTCACAGCCTTCAGTAGGAAAGATGTTCTCTATCATAGTGTTTGGTACCACTGTATGTTAGTGCACGTTGAAATCAAACACACATCACAGAAAGTAGTAGCTATAGCATTCTAACAGAGAGAAATCAGTCATGTGGAGATTTACAGGATTTAAAGAAAGTTAACTCTCTTTTGGTAAGAGTAAGGTTTAATAGCCTTTGAGCCACTTCAATCTCTGCCTTATATCAAATGCTAACAGAAAACTCAAGTGCTTCAAAGTCCTGTTTTTCAAGAAAAAATCTGGTAGTAGTTGGCTGGTAAGAGTTATACCTTACCACTTAAATTGAGAAACTGCTATTTTGGGAAGCAAGCTATTTAAAAATCTCAGTTTCATTTATGTAAAAAACGTAACCATTGTATGAATATTTAAAAATTTATTTTGAATGTTGCTAATTTTAATAAAGTGATTTATTCTGATGCCAAAATATGAATGCATAAGTATAAATCTAATTGAATTATGTCTGGGAATGACAACTTTGTATGTCTCTTTAAAAATCTCAGTTTCATTTATGTAAAAAGCGTAACCATTGTATGAATATTTAAAAAATTAATTTGAATGTTGCTAATTTTCATAAAGTGATTTATTCTGATGCCAAAATATGAATGCATAAGTATAAATCTAATTGAATTATGTCTGGGAATGACAACTTTGTATGTCTCTTAGCAGTTTTATAATTCATAAGAACATAATACGTTGGTAGCTTTCTTGTTTTATATTGTCTATATGTGCTGTGTGTTCAGGAGCAAATGATACAAAAGAAGTGGAAGACGATGAGGAGGAGGAGGAAAGTGATGTCCAAGGATTTCTCTTTGGCAAATTAAAGTGAGTTGACATAATTAGAGTTCTGCATTAGTTTCTGAAACACAAGCCAAAACCAGTTCTTTTATAGAAGTAGGGAGATCTATGTCGAAAATTTGCCACTGGTGAAATTTCTGATTGCTTTTTTTTTTTGTATGAGCATATGTCATTTGAGTATAAAGATGCAATAGTTGATGGCAAATTAAAGTGAGTTGACATAATTAGAGTTCTGCATTAGTTTCTGAAACACAAGCCAAAAACAATTCTTTTATAGAAGTAGTGAGATCTATGTCGAAAATTTGCCACTGGTGAAATTTCTGGTTGCTTTTTTTTTTTGTGTGTGAGCATATGTCATTTGAGTGTAAAGATGCAATAGTTGTTTTTTCTTTTCAAATATTGGTTTTAGTTTTCTAATTCTCTCAGATCATGTATAGTAAACTGTTTTTAAAGTTAAAAAAAAAATCCTTCTGAGCAACAGATAAAAAAACCTTAAACACAAATGTGAAAATATGGTTTTCTACAGTAAATGGTTGCTATTACTTCTGTTTTCAGATACTTAGAATCAAAATGTTGGATTTCAAAGTGCAAGCAGTAGCACAACAAATCCAAGGCCATGTGTTGTAGTAACATAAGGTGTTTTCAAGCTAGTTAGGCATTGATTTCTTAGGGTTGAGGAGTGATATTTCTTGGAAGATATGCTTGTTATGAGTGTCTTATTTTGGAATTTGTGTTCTGTTCTGGCAGGAACTCTTTTATCTCCAAGTTACAATCTGTTAGTCCAAGTGATTGATGAAATTGAATGCTACCTTATTGAGGGCTGTGGGCTGCTTCTGCTTCTCTGTTGATGGATTTATTTCACGATTGCTGTCAGCAGAAGTGCTTCCGTTTTCCTGTAACGGATCCATGCAGTGAATCATAAATCTTGGCTTTTTCTTCTAGAAGAAACTCAAGAGTGTGGTCTTCTCTAATGTCATTCTCTTTCTTATAAATAAGTTACTTTTAATTAAAAAAAGTCTTCTAAAGAGTTTAGAACTGCTAATGCTTTCTAAGTTCCTGACAGCCCGTCCCCTTTCTGCCTTTTTTAAAGTAAACACATTGAGATAGAAATGCCTCCAGATCTGCAGGCTTCCTTATTTGCTTCTCCTGCCTGTAAAGATCTTCCACAGCAGGTAGTATCAAATGCTTATGTCATGTTTTTATCTGAGCTTTTTTTGTTCTTGGATTGTGCTGCATTTAGCTATACTTAGGTTCTTGATGTTGCACTGTGGCCAACTTGTGTAGTATTTGTCAAATAGTTACCCAGACTTCTTGCAAGTATTTCTAGACACACTTTTTTCTTCTCCTTTTCATATGGGAGATGAAAGAGATGTTTCAGTAATCTTTAAATTGTGCCTCGGTTGTAGCAGCGTCAAAGGTTATACTTTTATATACTTAGGTTCTTGATGTTGCACTGTGGCTAACTTGTGTAGTATTTGTCAGATAGTTACCCAGACTTCTTGCAAGTGTTTCTAGACACACTTTTTTCTTGTCCTTTTCATACTGGAGATGAAAGAGATGTTTCAGTAATCTTTAAATTGTCCCTCAGTTGTAGCAGTGTCAAAGGTTATACTTTTCTCCACTGTGAAATAGTTACAGATGTAAGCAGAAGAAGAAGAAAAAAAAAATCTTAGAGATGCTAGTATTTAGTTCTTCAGATCAATGTAATTCAATCCCTTATCATAATACATAGCCAGAGAAAGGCAACTTTTTTCACTTGGCTTTAAGTGTGCTGAATTTTGTGCCCACACAAAGGTTATACTTTTCTCCACTGTGAAATAGTTACAGATGTAAGCAGAAGAAGAAGAAAAAAAAATCTTAGAGATGCTACTATTTGGTTCTTCAAATCGATGTAATTCAATCCTTTATCGTAATCCATAGCCAGAGAAGGGCAGCTTTTTTCACTTGCCTTTAAGTGTGCTGAATTTTGTGCCTACGCTGGTCTTAATGTAAGTGAACAAGAGCAATGAGAGACCAAGCATCAACACTAGATCTTGGTTAGGGCTTGGGGCTGGGTCTTATTTGTCAATTGGCTTTCACTCACGGAGGAATAGAGGGTCTGAATGGAAAAAAAAAAGTCATGAACATAAATTTGCAAAGAAGGCATTAAAAGCAGTGATTCAGGAGATAAAAACTAGTTTAAAGTTTGCTACATCATAGAGGAATTTCTAGAAGTATGAACTGTTTGTCATTTCTAGGCCTATGTTGCAAGCGAAAGAAAATTTCTGTTTTTCTTTTCAGCTGAGTATGCTTTTGTGGAGCAATCTGGATTATATTTTAATCCCAGAACAACAGCCTTCATCAGTGATTTTTTAATTTTTTTTTTCTGTAAAGAACAACAGCTAATACTGCCCAACAGCTAATAAAATCATAAATTTGCAAAGAAGGCATTAAAAGCAGTGATTCAGGAGATAAAAACTAGTTTAAAATTTGCTACATCATAGAGGAATTTCTAGGAGTATGAACTGTTTGTCATTTCTAGGCCTATGTTGCAAGTGAAAAAAAAAATTGTCTGTTTTTCTTTTCAGCTGAGTATGCTTTTGTGGAGCAGTCTGGATTATATTTTAATCCCAGAACAACAGCCTTCATTAGTGATTTATTTTTTTCTTTTTCTGTAAAGAACAACAGCTAATACCACCCAACAGCTAATAAAAAGAGGGGGGGAGGGATGCCTTGTGAAACTTCTTAATATCTAAAATAAATGATGAAATATTACAAAACTTAAAACCAGACATCTAAAGCATTAAGACCTTTAGCTTCTTACTACTTCTTCTATGCTTCTAGTAGAAGAGTCTTTAAAAATCTACTGGTGATTGATTGATGTCAGAGGGTGTCTTGATGCAGACTGAAGTCTTTGTCCTCAGAACTTCTACCCCATTATGTTTTCGAAAAAGATAGCCAAGCTTTTGGGCACCATGCTCTTCTTCAGCTTGTACTAGTGATTTTTGTGCTCAGTAGCTTGATTTTGGTCAGTGATGTTAATTTATAAAAGATATTCTCAATATTGACTTACATCTTTTGTAGGTAATGCAACATACTCTGGGTGTACATGCATTTACAGCTGTTTGTCATTTCTAGGCCTATGTTGCAAGTGAAAAAAAAAATTGTCTGTTTTTCTTTTCAGCTGAGTATGCTTTTGTGGAGCAATCTGGATTATATTTTAATCCCAGAACAACAGCCTTCATTAGTGATTTATTTTTTTCTTTTTCTGTAAAGAACAACAGCTAATACCACCCAACAGCTAATAAAAAGAGGGGGGGAGGGATGCCTTGTGAAACTTCTTAATATCTAAAATAAATGATGAAATATTACAAAACTTAAAACCAGACATCTAAAGCATTTAGCTTCTTCCTTCTTGTTCTATGCTTCTAGTAGAAGTCTTTAAAAATCTACTGGTGATTGATTGATGTCAGAGGGTGTCTTGTTGCAGACTGAAGTCTTTGTCCTCAGAACTTCTACCCTGTTATGTTTTTGAAAAAGATAGCCAGGCTTTTGGGCATCATGCTCTTCTTCAGCTCGTACTAGTGATTTTTGTGCTCAGTAGCTTGATTTTTTTCAGTGAGGTTAATTTATAAAAGATATTATCAATATTGACTTACATCTTTTGTAGGTAATGCAACATACTGTGTGTGTACATACATTTATAATTAATCTACAGTACAGTTAGTATACAGTTAAGTATACATTATGCAATAGTAAACTAACTATATAGTTAACTATATTGTGTGATAATACTGCTTAATCTTTGAGTTTCTTTATTCCATCAAAACTTATGTGACAGGGTTTGAGAGAAATCACTAAGAAACAGTTGAACTCCTTGTAAGTAACAGGTTTTTAGCCCTCAGAAATCACCTCTTCTCACCCCAAATCCTCATTTCTCTTTTAAGAATAAATTAAAATACAAAACTTAAAACCAGACATCTAAAGCATTTAGCTTCTTCCTTCTTGTTCTATGCTTCTAGTAGAAGTCTTTAAAAATCTACTGGTGATTGATTGATGTCAGAGGGTGTCTTGATGCAGACTGAAGTCTTTGTCCTCAGAACTTCTACCCTGTTATGTTTTTGAAAAAGATAGCCAGGCTTTTGGGCATCATGCTCTTCTTCAGCTCGTACTAGTGATTTTTGTGCTCAGTAGCTTGATTTTTTTCAGTGAGGTTAATTTATAAAAGATATTATCAATATTGACTTACATCTTTTGTAGGTAATGCAACATACTGTGTGTGTACATACATTTATAATTAATCTACAGTACAGTTAGTATACAGTTAAGTATACATTATGCAATAGTAAACTAACTATATAGTTAACTATATTGTGTGATAATACTGCTTAATCTTTGAGTTTCTTTATTCCATCAAAACTTATGTGACAGGGTTTGAGAGAAATCACTAAGAAACAGTTGAACTCCTTGTAAGTAACAGGTTTTTAGCCCTCAGAAATCACCTCTTCTCACCCCAAATCCTCATTTCTCTTAAGAATGAATTAAAATTTAATTCTTGCTTATTGCTATGAAGATATAGTATTAGCTGTGAGCAATACTGTGGATAAAAGCAGACATTGATGTCACTGATTTTTTCCTTTTTTAAAAAAATGTTTTGTTGCAGACAGATGCATCCTGATCTGAAAAATAATCTGAAAGAGTTTAAAAAACATCTAATTGAAACTACTAACAACATGGAACCGCTGAAAGTTTGGGAACTGCAGGGTATGTATTGCATTTTTCTGAATTAACACAGAACTCCGTTGTGGTTTTGGCTAGATTGGAGGAGAGGAAGTGATAACGAGACTTATGAGTTTAGAAAAACAGCTAAATTATTTTAATGAAAATATTAATAAATAATGAAATAATAAAAAATAATTTTTAAAAAGGAAAAAAAAAGTGTACAGTATATACAAAACTGCATGAAGCTCCCAGGATGACGATCATGTCACTGGCAGGCACAGGGAAAAGTCCCAGACTGGACTCAGTGATGGACAGGAGCTGGGTCCAGCTCTGGATTAGTGATTTTTGTGCTCAGTAGCTTGATTTTTTTCAGTGAGGTTAATTTATAAAAGATATTATCAATATTGACTTACATCTTTTGTAGGTAATGCAACATACTGTGTGTGTACATACATTTATAATTAATCTACAGTACAGTTAGTATACAGTTAAGTATACATTATGCAATAGTAAACTAACTATATAGTTAACTATATTGTGTGATAATACTGCTTAATCTTTGAGTTTCTTTATTCCATCAAAACTTATGTGACAGGGTTTGAGAGAAATCACTAAGAAACAGTTGAACTCCTTGTAAGTAACAGGTTTTTAGCCCTCAGAAATCACCTCTTCTCACCCCAAATCCTCATTTCTCTTAAGAATGAATTAAAATTTAATTCTTGCTTATTGCTATGAAGATATAGTATTAGCTGTGAGCAATACTGTGGATAAAAGCAGACATTGATGTCACTGATTTTTTCCTTTTTTAAAAAAATGTTTTGTTGCAGACAGATGCATCCTGATCTGAAAAATAATCTGAAAGAGTTTAAAAAACATCTAATTGAAACTACTAACAACATGGAACCGCTGAAAGTTTGGGAACTGCAGGGTATGTATTGCATTTTTCTGAATTAACACAGAACTCCGTTGTGGTTTTGGCTGGATTGGAGGAGAGTAAGTGATAACGAGACTTATGAGTTTAGAAAAACAGCTAAATTATTTTAATGAAAATATTAATAAATAATGAAATAATAAAAAATAATTTTTAAAAAGGAAAAAAAAAGTGTACAGTATATACAAAACTGCATGAAGCTCCCAGGATGACGATCATGTCACTGGCAGGCACAGGGAAAAGTCCCAGACTGGACTCAGTGATGGACAGGAGCTGGGTCCAGCTCTGGATTCAGGAACGCTTGGATCGGGATCAAAGGCAGACAAACAGACAGGGTCCTCCTTGGACATCAGCCATTGAAGAAAGAGAGTTGACCCTTTGATCCCTCAGCTTTTATACTGAGTGTGCAGATAGGATAGAATACCCTGTTGGTCAGTTTTGGGTCACCTCTCCTGTCCGCTCCTCCCCACAGGTGTGACCCCTCTATGGTTTTTCTGCTTTTAACCCTCCAACAGGGCAAATAATGAAGGTACCTGATGTAAGGTCCTTGTCTGTTATAGCAATAAGTATAAGCAAGGGCCTCTCTGCATACCACTCCTTGGTATAACCAGGTCTTGTCACTCTGAGAATGAACAGCTTCTAAATAATATGCTGTTAATTTCAGAGTTTAGTCAATTAAAAGCAGCCCAGCTAAAAAGTAAAATTACTGAACAGAAAATTGGTCTTGTTTTACCTCAAACCAGGACACCTGTTTAATTTTCCTTCAGTATGTTGATGTATCAACATTATGATAAAAGCTTCTTTTAAAAAGAGATGCATAGTTTCATAAAAAAGCAGTATTGTATCAAGTATTTAAAAAGAATGTGTGGGTATCTTGTCCTGGTATTATATGTTAGAAATTAAAGGATTGTGGAAGTCATTATATAGATAGAGAATCGTAACTAGCTTTACTGATATTAAAGACAGAAGTTGTTTTACCAGTGTAATTCTCTGCCTGATGCGTTATCTCAAATGTTAAATTTAGTTTCAGATATTTTTTTTTTGCGAAATTAGGCAAAAAATACCATTTTGGCATGACTACTGAGTTGGGACGAAGTACAGGTTAAGACATTTTGTTTTCTTTAATTTATAAATTCTAACTTTCATTGTGTACTGGAGTTCAAATTGATACATTTTAAAATGTAACATCAAATGGAAGAGCATGGCTATAAAAGGTGCCAGGAAGAGAGAGTGGTACTGGTTTGTGATAAGTTACTTCAGGGCCTTTTCAGACAGGGCATCTTCAGCCCCCTCTTTGGATGGCACAGTTGTTTTGATACTTTTACCCTTGACGTGTCTGGGTGCTTTCTCTAGTTTATTCTTAGTGATTAATGATAGTCGCTGAGTTAATGGCTCAGCTACTTTTTGATTTCCTTTAATTAGCTTCCAAGTAAAAATTTAACTAAATTTAACCAAAACTCCTTCAGCTATAAGGCATACTTCTATTTATAAATAACCCTAAACCCCAATCAAGAGCTGTCTTTCAGGAGCCTTATGTTTTGGGCAAGTAATCAGATTTACTACTCATAATAAAAAATGATGCGTAGAGTAGTGATGTGGTATATTCCCCTTAACTCATTCTTTGAAATTACATGTACAATGTTTATGCTTAGGATGGCTGAGCAGAATTGCGTAGAAAAGCTTGATTTGGATATTTCCAACTTTTTAGTGCCCATCTCTTCAACCTTAATGATGTTACTTCATAATCTTTTATAACGTATAATGTAAAAACTGTAATAATGGAAGTGTGTATATGGAACAGTTTTCTGATTGTAGGCAGTATTGATTGAGAGTGATATTTCCAGTGATTTGTATTTCTTTTTTCCAGATCTTAGTTTTCAAGCAGCTGCTCGAATTATGTCTGCCCCTGTTTATGATGCCTTAAAGGTAATGAAAGACATAGCTCAGAACTTCCCAATAAGAGCCAGGTATGATACTTAAGCTTGTTTTTCAAACAGTGTTTTTGTGTTTGAATTTAATGGCAGTGATACAGATTTATATCCAGATCCTGCAGTCAGATATGCATCTTTTACAGCTTGCTAGCATATGTCATTTGAGTGTAAAGATGCAATAGTTGTTTTTTCTTTTCAAATATTGGTTTTAGTTTTCTAATTCTCTCAGATCATGTATAGTAAACTGTTTTTAAAGTTAAAAAAAAAATCCTTCTGAGCAACAGATAAAAAAACCTTAAACACAAATGTGAAAATATGGTTTTCTACAGTAAATGGTTGCTATTACTTCTGTTTTCAGATACTTAGAATCAAAATGTTGGATTTCAAAGTGCAAGCAGTAGCACAACAAATCCAAGGCCATGTGTTGTAGTAACATAAGGTGTTTTCAAGCTAGTTAGGCATTGATTTCTTAGGGTTGAGGAGTGATATTTCTTGGAAGATATGCTTGTTATGAGTGTCTTATTTTGGAATTTGTGTTCTGTTCTGGCAGGAACTCTTTTATCTCCAAGTTACAATCTGTTAGTCCAAGTGATTGATGAAATTGAATGCTACCTTATTGAGGGCTGTGGGCTGCTTCTGCTTCTCTGTTGATGGATTTATTTCACGATTGCTGTCAGCAGAAGTGCTTCCGTTTTCCTGTAACGGATCCATGCAGTGAATCATAAATCTTGGCTTTTTCTTCTAGAAGAAACTCAAGAGTGTGGTCTTCTCTAATGTCATTCTCTTTCTTATAAATAAGTTACTTTTAATTAAAAAAAGTCTTCTAAAGAGTTTAGAACTGCTAATGCTTTCTAAGTTCCTGACAGCCCGTCCCCTTTCTGCCTTTTTTAAAGTAAACACATTGAGATAGAAATGCCTCCAGATCTGCAGGCTTCCTTATTTGCTTCTCCTGCCTGTAAAGATCTTCCACAGCAGGTAGTATCAAATGCTTAGGTCATGTTTTTATCTGAGCTTTTTTGTTCTTGGATTGTGCTGCATTTAGCTATACTTAGGTTCTTGATGTTGCACTGTGGCTAACTTGTGTAGTATTTGTCAGATAGTTACCCAGACTTCTTGCAAGTGTTTCTAGACACACTTTTTTCTTGTCCTTTTCATACTGGAGATGAAAGAGATGTTTCAGTAATCTTTAAATTGTCCCTCAGTTGTAGCAGTGTCAAAGGTTATACTTTTCTCCACTGTGAAATAGTTACAGATGTAAGCAGAAGAAGAAGAAAAAAAAATCTTAGAGATGCTACTATTTGGTTCTTCAAATCGATGTAATTCAATCCTTTATCGTAATCCATAGCCAGAGAAGGGCAGCTTTTTTCACTTGCCTTTAAGTGTGCTGAATTTTGTGCCTACGCTGGTCTTAATGTAAGTGAACAAGAGCAATGAGGGACCAAGCATCAACACTAGATCTTGGTTAGGGCTTGGGGCTGGGTCTTATTTGTCAATTGGCTTTCACTCACAGAGGAATAGAGGGTCTGAACAGGAGAAAAAGTCATGAATGTAAATTTGCAAAGAAGGCATTAAAAGCAGTGATTCAGGAGATAAAAACTAGTTTAAAGTTTGCTACATCATAGAGGAATTTCTAGAAGTATGAACTGTTTGTCATTTCTAGGCCTATGTTGCAAGCGAAAGAAAATTTCTGTTTTTCTTTTCAGCTGAGTATGCTTTTGTGGAGCAATCTGGATTATATTTTAATCCCAGAACAACAGCCTTCATCAGTGATTTTTTAATTTTTTTTTTCTGTAAAGAACAACAGCTAATACTGCCCAACAGCTAATAAAATGAGGGGGGGAGGGATGCCTTGTGAAACTTCTTAATATCTAAAATAAATAATGAAATATTACAAAACTTAAAACCAGACATCTAAAGCATTAAGACCTTTAGCTTCTTACTACTTCTTCTATGCTTCTAGTAGAAGAGTCTTTAAAAATCTACTGGTGATTGATTGATGTCAGAGGGTGTCTTGATGCAGACTGAAGTCTTTGTCCTCAGAACTTCTACCCCATTATGTTTTCGAAAAAGATAGCCAAGCTTTTGGGCACCATGCTCTTCTTCAGCTTGTACTAGTGATTTTTGTGCTCAGTAGCTTGATTTTGGTCAGTGATGTTAATTTATAAAAGATATTCTCAATATTGACTTACATCTTTTGTAGGTAATGCAACATACTCTGGGTGTACATGCATTTACAGTTAATCTACAGTACAGTTAGTATACAGTTAAGTATATATTATGCAATAGTAAACTAACTATACAGTTAATTATATTGCGTGTTAATACTGTTTAATCTTTGAGTTTCTTTATTCCATCAAAACTTATGTGACAGGGTTTGAGAGAGATCACTAAAAAACAGTTGAACTCCTTGTAAGTAACAGGTTTTTAGTCCTCAGAAATCACCTCTTCTCACCCCAAATCCTCATTTCTCTTTTAAGAATAAATTAAAATTTTAATTCTTGCTTATTGCTATGAAGATATAGTATTAGCTGTGAGCAATACTGTGGATAAAAGCAGACATTGATGTCACTGATTTTTTCCTTTTTTAAAAAAATGTTTTGTTGCAGACAGATGCATCCTGATCTGAAAAATAATCTGAAAGAGTTTAAAAAACATCTAATTGAAACTACTAACAACATGGAACCGCTGAAAGTTTGGGAACTACAGGGTATGTATTGCATTTTTCTGAATTAACACAGAACTCCGTTGTGGTTTTGGCTAGATTGGAGGAGAGGAAGTGATAACGAGACTTATGAGTTTAGAAAAACAGCTAAATTATTTTAATGAAAATATTAATAAATAATGAAATAATAAAAAATAATTTTTAAAAAGGAAAAAAAAAGTGTACAGTATATACAAAACTGCATGAAGCTCCCAGGATGACGATCATGTCACTGGCAGGCACAGGGAAAAGTCCCAGACTGGACTCAGTGATGGACAGGAGCTGGGTCCAGCTCTGGATTCAGGAACGCTTGGATCGGGATCAAAGGCAGACAAACAGACAGGGTCCTCCTTGGACATCAGCCATTGAAGAAAGAGAGTTGACCCTTTGATCCCTCAGCTTTTATACTGAGTGTGCAGATAGGATAGAATACCCTGTTGGTCAGTTTTGGGTCACCTCTCCTGTCCGCTCCTCCCCACAGGTGTGACCCCTCTATGGTTTTTCTGCTTTTAACCCTCCAACAGGGCAAATAATGAAGGTACCTGATGTAAGGTCCTTGTCTGTTATAGCAATAAGTATAAGCAAGGGCCTCTCTGCATACCACTCCTTGGTATAACCAGGTCTTGTCACTCTGAGAATGAACAGCTTCTAAATAATATGCTGTTAATTTCAGAGTTTAGTCAATTAAAAGCAGCCCAGCTAAAAAGTAAAATTACTGAACAGAAAATTGGTCTTGTTTTACCTCAAACCAGGACACCTGTTTAATTTTCCTTCAGTATGTTGATGTATCAACATTATGATAAAAGCTTCTTTTAAAAAGAGATGCATAGTTTCATAAAAAAGCAGTATTGTATCAAGTATTTAAAAAGAATGTGTGGGTATCTTGTCCTGGTATTATATGTTAGAAATTAAAGGATTGTGGAAGTCATTATATAGATAGAGAATCGTAACTAGCTTTACTGATATTAAAGACAGAAGTTGTTTTACCAGTGTAATTCTCTGCCTGATGCGTTATCTCAAATGTTAAATTTAGTTTCAGATATTTTTTTTTTGCGAAATTAGGCAAAAAATACCATTTTGGCATGACTACTGAGTTGGGACGAAGTACAGGTTAAGACATTTTGTTTTCTTTAATTTATAAATTCTAACTTTCATTGTGTACTGGAGTTCAAATTGATACATTTTAAAATGTAACATCAAATGGAAGAGCATGGCTATAAAAGGTGCCAGGAAGAGAGAGTGGTACTGGTTTGTGATAAGTTACTTCAGGGCCTTTTCAGACAGGGCATCTTCAGCCCCCTCTTTGGATGGCACAGTTGTTTTGATACTTTTACCCTTGACGTGTCTGGGTGCTTTCTCTAGTTTATTCTTAGTGATTAATGATAGTCGCTGAGTTAATGGCTCAGCTACTTTTTGATTTCCTTTAATTAGCTTCCAAGTAAAAATTTAACTAAATTTAACCAAAACTCCTTCAGCTATAAGGCATACTTCTATTTATAAATAACCCTAAACCCCAATCAAGAGCTGTCTTTCAGGAGCCTTATGTTTTGGGCAAGTAATCAGATTTACTACTCATAATAAAAAATGATGCGTAGAGTAGTGATGTGGTATATTCCCCTTAACTCATTCTTTGAAATTACATGTACAATGTTTATGCTTAGGATGGCTGAGCAGAATTGCGTAGAAAAGCTTGATTTGGATATTTCCAACTTTTTAGTGCCCATCTCTTCAACCTTAATGATGTTACTTCATAATCTTTTATAACGTATAATGTAAAAACTGTAATAATGGAAGTGTGTATATGGAACAGTTTTCTGATTGTAGGCAGTATTGATTGAGAGTGATATTTCCAGTGATTTGTATTTCTTTTTTCCAGATCTTAGTTTTCAAGCAGCTGCTCGAATTATGTCTGCCCCTGTTTATGATGCCTTAAAGGTAATGAAAGACATAGCTCAGAACTTCCCAATAAGAGCCAGGTATGATACTTAAGCTTGTTTTTCAAACAGTGTTTTTGTGTTTGAATTTAATGGCAGTGATACAGATTTATATCCAGATCCTGCAGTCAGATATGCATCTTTTACAGCTTGCTTAGATAGATTCCAAGCAATTTCTTCAAGTAGAAAATAACTCCCGGGAGAGCTCACGATCAGTCTCTTAAATGTTTCCTGTCTGATGCAGAAGATGGCATGAAGGCTTCCTGATCCGTCAGGCACTTATGGTTGAATGCCTACTCCTCACTGCTTTTACTGGAATAATATTTTCCCAGGTGGAAAATTCTGTTGAATTAATAGTAGATCTTCTCACAGTAGGAAGAAGCAAAATTCTATTAATAAATTTCATAGAGGATCCACCCGCCTCAGTTCTAAGAACAACACTGCTGATAAGATGTTAATGTTTTTACTGGGGAAGAAAACAGGTTAGTTAACAAAAGATCAAGATAAATATTAAATAAATGAAGAACATTTTCCTCTGTGCTAATATTAGTATTAAAAATTGCTCTTCCTGTAAGCTAATTGTATTGTAATTGAGAAATGCTTTTCTTCATATTTAATAAGTTCTTCATGCAATTTTATCAGCAATATTTGCTTGAATTACTGAATTAAATATGATGCTAAACAGGGTTCTTAACTCAGTGTGCTTTCGCATTTTACAACTCTTAATTATCACAGCGTTTCATTGTCGTTTCTGATTTTTTTCTCTTGGAGAAAATCTACACTGTAGTGGAAAAACTAGCTTTGTAACATCTTGCTTCAAGGATGAAAAATAACTTTAAAATGCCTGAAACATAATTATTATGAAATAGTAAGGTGTAAATTACAGGTAGATTAGCAATCAGAAAATACAGCTTTCCTTTAGAAGTAGTGGAAATGTACATAATGATGAACTGCAAGGCTAGTTCTGTTCTTTAACGGACAGGAAGAAGTCAGTTTGAAGTATGGTAGGTGACATTAAAATGATTGATTTTAAAAAGTCAATAAATTGTTACATACCACTCCCACTGTGTATTTGTGGCATTAGAGCCCAATTTACCTGCTCTTCAAACATTTTATTTTTATAGGTAAAAGTATAAGAAGACTTGGGAATTATTAAAAGGGGAATTGCAGTTCTGTATAATTTGTTTTTAACAAGAGAGATTATAAATATTTAAATAAAGTTAGTAGGTCTGCATTGACAACAGACTTAAATCAAAGGGGCATTGTGTAAAAACAGTGCACAAAGTATATTTCCTTAATAATCTAATCATACTTAACCTGCTGAGTCACAAATACTAGTTTGGAAAAAAAAACCAACCTAGAATAAACAGGAAATGAAAAAGATATTGATCACTTTAGGTAGATAACTGGTCATTATAATAGTAGTGGTTTAAAATTGATTAAATTTCACACGGTTTACATATAAGAACAACCATTTTTTAGTTATGGAAATTTTGGGTTGAAAGGCTGTATAAAAAAAAATTTTAGAACTATAGTTACTAAAATAAAAATTAAATATATATTCCTTAAAAATGGAAGAGTTCCTTAGAGCATAAGAAAAAATAATATACCAGTCTTCTGGAAGTTTCTTCCACTTTCTAGTTTATCACCTACATTTTTGTGTCTTAGTATTTCCAGTTGAAAAGGTTAATCTGAGCTAGATGGTACAAAATGTCATCAGATGTAGACAATATAAGAACTGATACGTGTCATGGCAGTATTTCGATAACTTATTTCCTAGGATATTTTTTATCTTTGTATACGTGTCATAAATATCTGTTGTTTAAGAATACGATAACAAGAATTATAATACCGTGTTTCATGCTATCTATTCATCATTCATAAACATTAACGTTATGAACACGCGCAGAGTTTTCTCTTTTCCCCAATATGTCATACTGTATGGCTACATGTTCTTATGCATCAAAAGATGCATAAAGTTATGTGATAGAAAATATTACAGCCTTAAGGTCATACAAGAATATTCCAACGTCATGTAGAATGATAGTATCCATTTATTTTCAGACAGTAAGGTGTTTCTATTTGGTGAGTCTTTAGCACTGACTATTTAGAAAAGCAGTGCATAAAACTCTGTAAAGCTTTGAACAAATGACTGAACTCAGAATGAACTAATATCTTTCACAGGTACTTTTACAGTTGTTACCTCATATTCCTAAGGTGTCCCTCTCAATGATCAACTATCACGCTTTCTCCTTAAAATCTTATTAGAAACCTACATCATCAACTGCCATACTTAGACAAGGAGATAGTCAATGGTTCTTTAATGTATTGCTTCCTTATTACCAAAACCAGCTATCGGTAAAGCTTGCCTTTTGCTAATAAGTATTTTACTTCCTTGTTAATGTTGGGCCAGTTTTGTTTTCTCCTTTCCACGTTATTCTCACATTCATTTTTTGTTTCTGCTTTACTACTCTAAGCTATTTGGAAAGATTTAGGTTGTTCGTTTTATCTGTGTAGCTTTTATCACCTGCGTGCAGAATGAAACATTGATTCTGGGAGTTGCAGGCCCTTGTGCTATTTATGTTGAGTTGAGCAAGATAAAAATCAGATATTTTTTTTCCCTAAAATATATTTTACTTCAGGACTTTAGCACTATTGCTATGGACAGCAAGATAAAAATCAGATATTTTTTTTCCCCTTAAATATATTTTACTTCAGGACTTCAGCACTATTGCTATGGATTCAGTGTAATAGTTGTGGTAATACTGCCACACTTCAAATTTCCACCTAGCTGTGGAGTCCTTCTGTTAAGCAGCTGTTTTGTTCATTGGTTAAGTAAACTGGCAGTGATAACTCCCATCAATTACAGATGTTCTTTTAATGAGAGAAGTTCTGTTGTGTTCCTGAATTATGTCTGTTGCTGGTAGAAGTTCCCTTGAAGCAGTGCCCTACATAGTAAGTTTTTCAGACTTGTGACTTGATAGTGTTCTTCCTAATCTGTGTCCTCCATTTTTCCAAATTCAAATTCAGCTTCAGATATTTTTTCTTTATAGTTAGTTTCTTTTAATATTTTTTAAAAAATCTTATTCAGCAATGTTTCCTTTTCAGCAGAAATATTTAGTTTCTTGCTTTCTGTTGTATGATTTCTACTTCAAAACCAGTGAACATTACAGTATGAGCTGTATTTACTCAGTATTGAATACACTTACAACTTTATGTGCATCGAGAATGCCTCATCATTATGAGCACGTTTAGATTATTTGAACAATAATAAGCAAGTTATTAAGCTCATCCTTCAATGACTACTGATAATATATTCCAACCATGTTGACAGGTTTTAGTGCCGTCTTTGACGTCGCAGTTTGAGTTACACCTTTCTCATTTTTTCAGGTCACTGACCAGAGTGCCTGTAGACAAGAAAATGCGAAATGAAATAGAAGAAAATCAGAAGGTTTGTTTTTATTTCATCGAGTGGGCATTTGAGTACTATTATCATATTACTGCTTTTGGAGATTTTTATTAGCATAACAACTTTCACATGGTTCCTATCAGAGAAAAAGAACTATTTGTTCTAAACACCTTTGAAGAAGTAACATTGAAGTACTCAATTCAGATTTTTCATTTTCTGCTGTCCTTGATACTTTTCCCTTTCCTCTTTTGATTTTACAGAATTAGGCAAGGACAAACAATTTTTATGTAGTGTGCTTATAAGTTGTCATAAATTGTATGCTATGAAAGCAAAATAGGTATCCGTTAATTTTTCTAGCTTTGGTATTGACTCTAGTCCTGCTGCTTGTCTTATGGTCAGCACATGCTACCTCTGAGCTTTCCACACCCTGATTCCTGCATACAACTCTTCTGCAAGGTATTTTGAACATCACCTGTTGTAGATGGTGGATTTATTTTTGTCCTTGAGCCATTGCATCTTTTGTGTATCACATGAGGAGCCATTGCTCATGTGATTTTTTGACTGGTCTGAGATGTATTCTAAGATGCCACTTCTTGTTTGTAGAGATCGTGACATCTGTGATTTTTTCTGTCTTAGTTCAAAGTTTGGATTTTTTTTCTTTCAAGTTGAGTGTTAAATGTTGGCCATCATGCTTTTAGGACTTTTTACATTAAAGGACATACATAGAACTGTCCTTAATTTTGATCTTCAGAACATATATTTTCATATGGTGTTAAGACTGACCAACCACTATATTGAAAGGGATTTATTTCTTACTTATGGCCCTCCTGTACTTTTGCAACATTTCCATGTATTGTTTTGCTTTGTTCAGGCCTTTAGATACTAGTCTTGTCAAGACTAGTATCTAGAGGGAATGCCTTTTCAGTTTCTTCCACCTTCCTAAGCAGTGAAAGTGAACGATGTCCCTGTTGCACTGATGCAGCCTTCCTTTAAAGAGCTTGTCACCTCCACTGCAGCAAAAATTTCACATAAATGTGTTAGAGCTCTCTACCACGCAAAACTAATGTAAGGCTTTCCAGTCTTGAGTATTTCCTGCCCAAATAGTGAGAGGCTCAAGTGTTACATCCTTGTGGTTATGCAAACCATTTTATAGGCCTTCTTTTTTCTCCATAGGTGATTACATGGGGCACCGGTGCACTGAGAATACAATTCCCATGTCCTAGCAGTTCACCTTCGTGAGCCCTTCAACTTTCTTGTGTGCAAGGTGCATGTGTGACTTTTAGGTTTTCACAGAGATCTTAGAGTGGTCTCAACATTATGCAGACCACTTGTTTCTTGCACTAGTGAGAAGTGCTGTAGTTTTTCCTCAAGGGGCCAAATCAGTATTTGCACTCCACTTAATTGCTTTCTGAATGCAGCTGAGGTGCACATTTTTCTTGATCTCTTTGTTGATTGGGTTATAGTAGTTTGGATAAAGCAAAACGAAGCCCTTTTGATCATAGTTTCTCCACAGTGTGAGTGTTGGTAGTGGGACTTCCCTTGTTTTTTTGGTGAAGTCTTTACCATGTCTTTCTCAAACTGCAGTTCTGTTAACACAAAAATAAACCACAACTGCTTAATCAAAAACCTCTACTGCAAAATGCAAAAAAAAAGGTATCTCAGAAATCAAAATAGCTGTTATTACTAAGTATAAGGATTAGGAAAAGTAACTAAGATTTGGTTTGAAATGAAGATGTCTGCATTTAGACACATCTATATGGTGTGTAAGGTCCTGTTATGACGATGAAGATGTAGTCAATGGACATCAAAAACAATTTAGCCCCAACAGTGATTGTTTTATGGGGCTTGACTGAGTTTGCCTAAACCTGAATTTCTCATGTCACTTGAGATGCCGCAGGCTATCCGAGATACCCAGTGGACACATCTACCAGACCCATACGGCTATCTGTTCCCTTCTGTCTGAGACCTTCCAGTCTAAGATGCCTAATCCTGAGACAAATGACATTGGGTATCTATGTGGTTGGTCAACTGAATCACTCCTATGATTCCATGACCGTATTAAATACATTAAGAGAGCCTTAAGCACCTAAACCACTACATTTAAATTTCATACTGCATCCTTCCTGAGGGTACAGGCCTTTAGACAGCTAAAAGCTAAAGTCTGTTTAATAGGAGTAGGGAAACTTCCTGAGCACTGCTGCTGGTGCACAATAAATTGGCATGTGCGTTCTTGAACTGCAGTACATCCATCTAGCAGCAGGAGAGATACGATCTCATGCTGGGTGTAACTGGATGATTCCCTCTCAAGATAATGAAAGTCGAATAGGAAATGCAACGGGAGGAAATAAAGGTATTGAAAGTTGAAAGGCATGTGATGATTTAGGTGTAATGAATTGATACGTAAGAAAGAGACAAAGAACTGCTGTAGATAAGAGGAGAAATAAAATCTCATTAAACACAACTCACAACTTCCAGTACAATAATTTGCTGACAGCTTAGCAAGAAAATACTATGTGAGTATTATCAGCATGAAATTCTTGTCTTATATGCCTAAATACTCCTTCCATCAAAGTTGTTATGGCAAATGGATGCTCTTCTTAACAGTCAGATGCCTAGCATGAAAATTGTATAACAAGTCTGAGCTCTGATTTGGCTCAGTTTGCTGCTGCAGTACTGAAGGATTTGAAAACCTTTTAGACTCCCATTTCAACACTCGATGGCTGATACTTTTATCATTGCTCTTGCGTTAGTTGTTCTTAGGGTTAGTTTTTTACCTCAGCCAGTTGCAGTCTTACACAGTATCTCTGTTTACATGAGTGTCTGGGCTAATAAGAATGCAAACAGAAAGCTTTCAGGGGTGGTAAGAGATCTCTTATCTGAAATGCCAACTTCAGTGCTTCAAGGAAAGGGACTGTTCTAGTTGATCTCACAAGATCTGTGCCAGAGCCTGAAAGATGCTGGTAAGACTTCTTGAGACTGGAATAGTCCTTATATTTATTGTTCACTCCTTGAGTTCAGTGGCATTAAAGGGGATTTTTCTGTGGTTACACCACTTCATGGCACAATGCTTGTTTTAAAACTGGAATCCAAGTTGGATTTGGTAACTACAGGAAAAATTTCAGATTTACCTAAGATTTTGGGTGCTTCTCTGCACAGTACAGAGCATTTTTATCACTGTGTGCCTGGCTATTTAATTTTGTCCCATCTGCCCGTTTTGATGGTGTCTTGGGACCAAACTCTGTATAGGTGAAATGATCAGAAATTCCACATGCTGCAGGGACACTTGGCATTTTCAGGCATCTATGAATGTTGGCTGCTTATAAGGGATGTGTAGAGTGGGACCTTGGGAGGGCTTGCAATTCCATGTGAAGCTGTGGTAGGAAAAACGTGCACATCAGACACCAGCTCCTACTTCTAGTTTTTGTTTTAATGATTGCATGATATTTAACAAAGATAAATATGGAGTCCTGCACTTGGGCTGGAGTAATCCAAAGCAGCAGTTAGTTATAAAGAAGATAGAAGTCCTTCCTCTTCTATACCAAGTTTTGGGATATGCCAAAAAAACATTTCTGTAATTTAAATTAGTATAAGATTGGGAATAAAGTGAGTTTTATAAATTAGAAAAGTAATTAAATTATCTCTTTTCTCTTTTTTTTTTCCCTATCCAACCATAGGAAACTTACTGCCATGTATTTATGGTCCTCATTCTTGAAAGGCCCACAGACATCCATATTTTTCTTTAGGTGCCTACTAAAATTTTCAGAGAAGACAATTAACTAATTTTTTTTTAAAAAGGCTTTCTGGTTATTTCTTAGCATTAGTGGGATGCAGTCACCCCCAAATCCACCATGTTCTTCACATTTTGTATATTCAAACTCAGATCTATATATATTAAAAATATTTAGATACTTTATAACAAACATAAGTAATTATTACTTTTTTTAAAAATCTACATACAAAAAATGAAAGCACTACAAAGTTCAGGTTACACCTTTATAAATAATTAAGTTTACCAATTGCAAAAGCTGGTTTTGAAGGTCAAGGACAGGTTTTGGTCTTCCATGAAAATTCTTTCTGTGTTAGGCTCGGGCTTATCACAGCTGCATTTTTTCTTCATGGTGAACCCTGCCTTTTTGTAAATTGATATTAGGTGCCATTATGTATTTCCATTCAGCTTTGGGTTCTGAAAATGTTTATATATATTAAGGAATATGTTACTGTTTCAATGAATGATGAGTAATATGTACATCTGTTGGATTACAAGGAGCTTCAAGTACACTGTTGTCTCATTTATGTGGGGTTGAACTTGTAACGTCCCAAACCAGTTAGCTTTGAGCTTACTTATATTTAACTGTAGCACTATTGCTATGGACTCAGTGTAATAGTTGTGGTAATACTGCCACACTTCAAATTTCCACCTAGCTGTGGAGTCCTTCTGTTAAGCAGCTGTTTTGTTCATTGGTTAAGTAAACTGGCAGTGATAACTCCCATCAATTACAGATGTTCTTTTAATGAGAGAAGTTCTGTTGTGTTCCTGAATTATGTCTGTTGCTGGTAGAAGTTCCCTTGAAGCAGTGCCCTACATAGTAAGTTTTTCAGACTTGTGACTTGATAGTGTTCTTCCTAATCTGTGTCCTCCATTTTTCCAAATTCAAATTCAGCTTCAGATATTTTTTCTTTATAGTTAGTTTCTTTTAATATTTTTTAAAAAATCTTATTCAGCAATGTTTCCTTTTCAGCAGAAATATTTAGTTTCTTGCTTTCTGTTGTATGATTTCTACTTCAAAACCAGTGAACATTACAGTATGAGCTGTATTTACTCAGTATTGAATACACTTACAACTTTATGTGCATCGAGAATGCCTCATCATTATGAGCACGTTTAGATTATTTGAACAATAATAAGCAAGTTATTAAGCTCATCCTTCAATGACTACTGATAATATATTCCAACCATGTTGACAGGTTTTAGTGCCGTCTTTGACGTCGCAGTTTGAGTTACACCTTTCTCATTTTTTCAGGTCACTGACCAGAGTGCCTGT